CATGAGAAAAAAGAGTGGGCAAATTCCAATAGAGGGGCAGTCTACAAAGTACTTAAGTAGCACTCCTCAAAACCGTAAAGGTCATCAACAAGAAGGAAAGCCTAAGAAACTGTCACAGCCAAAAGGAACCTACTGAGATAAGACAAACAATGTAACATGTACCCCCAGAGAGACAGAAAAAGACATTAAGCAAAAACTAAGGAAATCTGAATAAACTACTATTGAAGACTTTAGCTGATAATAATGTATCAATACTGATTCATTAATTGTAACAAATGTACCATAAGAATGTAAAAATAATAGGGGAAACGGTTCTCAAAAATAAAGCCTACATTAATAAAAAATCTGTAAGCCATGTCAAATCTAAACAAAATTTCTTAAGTTAGAATAATGATCAAGATAAGTTGTAAAGGGGGGCCGGCTGCATGGCCAAGTGGTTAAGTTCACATGGTCCACTTCTGCAGCCTGGGGTTTGCTGGTTCGCATCCTGGGGGTGGACCTACACACGGTTCATCAAGCCATGCTGTGGTGGCATCCCAGAGAGAAGAACTAAAATGACCTACAACTAGGATATACAACTATGTGCTAGGGCTTTGGGGAGAGAAAAAAAAGAGGAAGATTGGCAAAAGATGTTTGCTCAGGGCCAACCTTCCTCAAACGCACACACACACAAAGTTTGTAAAGATCAGGGGGTTCTGTTGTTGGTTTTTCGTTTTGTTATGTTTCTTATAAATCTGTACTAACTCCAATCATTTCTTTGACAGGCAGTGAGTAATCATACCTCCTAAGTGGTCTCTCTGCTTCCTCCCAGCCCCATTCTCAGCCTGAGTCACTCTTAAAAAGTAAAGTCAAATTATGAAACTCTTCTGCTCATATCTTTCCAATCACTTCCCATCTCACCCCGAGTAAAGCGAGAGTTCTTACAATAATCCTCAATGCACTAAGTGACCTAATGGCTGCCCCTTAAACCTCTGATTTCATCTCCTATTTTCTACTGCACCAACACAGGTCTCCTGGCTCTTCCCTCAAACTCACAAAGCTATTCACTCCCTCATTTCCCCTCAGATCCCTGCTCAAACTTTGCCTCACTGAAGACTTCCCAGACCTTCTGCAAATCACATCCTTCCTCTATCCTTTCTCTCTACATTACCTAACCCTCTTTTCTAGGTTTATTATTCTCCATAGCACTAATAAATACTCGACATAATTTCCTAGTTTGCCTCTTATCCACTAAAATGCAAACTCCATGAGGACAGGGTCTTTGCTTGTTCACTGCTATATCACCAGCACCCAGAAGAGTGACTGGCACATGGCAGATACTCACAGATAATCACAATCTATGTTCCGTTTCAGAAGAGAAATCACCTTGAAGTTAAAGCTCAACTACCTCTCAAGCAGACATGTACGGAGTGCCTACCAAATTGCCAGCATCCTGATAAGGCTTGGGGACTCAAAAATGAAAGATTAAGCTAGCAGGTCAGCCCATTCTAATAAAACTGAATACCCTGAGACATTTATTAATTTTAGGCATTGTACCAGAGTTTTCAATACTAGAGAGAGCAGAGATCTAACTGGGCCACCAACCAATGAATTTAATTATTGAAACCCAAATTCTCTATTGTAAGTCACAAAGGGAGCAACACGGAAATAAGTTCTCAATAATTTTACAAAATTAGTGTTTTCTTTTACAACTTATATATAAGCAAAATGGGATGGAGTACATTCCATATAAAAATTAGCTTTGAGTGAAGCAACAGTCATTCACTGAATTTTAAAAAACCAATTAAAATCGCATGCTTCCCTCAAAAAATTAAATATAGTCGCCATATGGCCCATCAATCCCACTTCTAGACATATATTCAAAAGAATTGAAAATATATGTTCACACAAAAACTTGTACATGAACGTTCACAGCAGCATGATTCTTAATAATCAAAAGGCAGAAACAGGGGCCGGCCCCATGGCACAGCGGTTAAGTATGCACGTTCCGCTTCGGAGGCCCGGGGTTCACCAGTTTGGATCCTGGGCGCGGACATGGCACCGCTTGCCAAGCCACGCTGTGGCAGGCATCCCACACATAAAGTAAAGGAAGATGGGAATGGATGTTCGCTCAGAGCCAGTCTTCCTCAGCAAGAGAGGAGGATTGGCAGCAGTTAGCTCAGGGCTAATCTTCCTCAAACAAAAAAAAACAAAAAAAGCAGAAATAATCCAAATGTCCAACAACTAGTAATGGATAAATAAAATGTGACACAGCCACACAACGGAGTAGTATCCAGCCACAAAAAGGAATGAAGTACTGATACATGCCACGACACGGATGAGCGTGGAAAATATGCCAAGTGAAAGAAGCCAAATAAAAAAGATCACATATAGTACGATTCCACTTCTATGACGTGTACTGAATAAGCAAACTCGTGGAGACAGAAAGTAGATCACTGCAGTTACCAGGGGCTGGGGAGAGAAGAGGAAGGAGAATGCTAGTGACTATGTGTTTCCTTTTGGGGTGACAAAAAATGTTCTAGAATTAGACAGTAGTGATAGTTACACAGTCTTGCGAATATTCTCAAGTACTGAACTGTACATTTTAAAATGGGGAATTATATAATTTGTGAATTACATTTCAATAAAAATTATAGTTGCCCAAACTTAGTGATTATGGGTAATTTTTCGTGAACTGTGCAACATCGTCAAACAGGAAGGTGGTTCTGGATAGGGTTGCTGTCATGCAGGTATTCAATCTCTTATGGGTGGCCCATCTCCATATAACATATAATGACTTTTTGTTAATCTGTAATAATATTTTTATAGTTTTAAAATAAATTTCAGAACCCTCATAATAATCTGATGGTCACTGGTTTGTTGAAGTCATTTATTTTTTTCAAACAAAAGCCAGATTTTTAAAAAATTTTATCCTGGGGAAAAAACATGTCTCAAAACATTGTCTCTGTTTCTAATTCCTATCTTTGAGCCAATATAAGACCTCCTTTGACTAAATGTACATTTATTTAATACAGGACCCACCGTGGCAGGTAGGTCCTATATTAGGTCCCAGTCCCAAAGGCCTGGATGGGAGGTATGGAGACAGACAGAGGGCTTTTACCACCCCCTACATACCCCAAGCACCACAGGAGCGAATGCCTAGAAAAGAGGAAGAAGCCAAGGGAAGAGTCACAACTGTTGAGTCTTCCATCCCCTCTGCACACACTCCAAGTGGGTACTGACTCAATCTTGAGGAGAAAGGGGGTCGAATTTTGCAGAGGGAAGTATCATCATCCTTCAGTTGCTGTCACTTAAATTCCAAATAAAAAATTGACATTTTTCTCAAAATTAAAACAAACCAGAAGAGACACTAATTATTTAGTTACCACTCTCTACCTTATTACTTTAAAAGTCTGAACATTCTTTCCCTAAAACTTCTTTCCTAACTTTAATCTAATTTGTTTAACAAAGAAAATTAAGTTTGAAGGCAGATGAGAAAGCTGAGACAAAAAGCTCATCTAAAATGGCAACTTGTGCAGTGAAGACAGTATATGATCATAAGAAAAAATACTCTTGAATATATTATTGAGAATAAGCTGTCTTATGCTTTATATCCAGGTATTGATAACATATACACATCTACTCCTTAGGTAACACACTCTGTGTCCCTAATACTTAAGAAATAAAACACATTCTAAGTTTTAAAATCAATTAGAAGTTCCATGAAATATGTTCACTCCCAGGTAAACAAGTCAATACTTGCATACAGGTAATAAGTTACTTAAGTACTAAATGAATGATTTTGCCTTTAGTAGTCATATCACTTTCTTCTCTGCGTTAAACAATTTGGCCACTGAAAATATATATACTCTCATGGAATAAAAACAGAATTCTCTTTAAGCTTTGAAAACATTGTTATCATCCTAGATATATCAACTCTTCATAGCTGAGAAAGATAAGAACCCTGGATTGGAAGTTAGGAGGCCCAGATTCCAGTCCTGGTTCTGCAAATAACATGCTTCAAGACCTTCAGCAAAGCACATAATCTTGTAGAGTTCTAGTTTTCATATTTATGAGGCCTAACGTTCTTTGTATTTCTAATATTCTCAGTTAAGCTAAATATTTTTACTTCATCAATCACACAGTATACTTTAGTATAAAATCTGTCTTCAAAATTGAGTACAGAGAAACACTGAGTTCACTAACTCAGCACATCTGTCCCACTCATATCTAAATGCTAAATATTTTATAAATCACTATTTTATTTTAGCTAATTGTAGTCTGAGAATTAAAAAAAAAACCTGAAGCATTAAGAATAATGAGCTCTGGGCCGGCCCGGTGGCGTAGCAGTTGTGTGTGCATGTTCCGCTTCGGCGGCCTGGGGTTCCCTGGCTTGGATACTGGGTGCGGACATGGCAGCACTTGGCATGCCATGCTGTGGCAGGCGTCCCATATATAAAGTAGAGGAAGATGGGCATGGATGTTAGCTCAAGGTCAGTCTTCCTGAGCAGAAAGAGGAGGATTGGCAGCAGTTAGCTCAGGGGTAATCCTCCTCAAAAAAAAATAAAATAAAATAATGAGCTCTTATTAAGGAATCATTTATTGCGAACGTGAACAAATAAACAAATGAACCATAAAACAACTATGAAACAGCTGTATTAAAGCACAGGCTTTGCAAATAAGCCACAGGATTCAAATCCAGTTCTATAGTTTACAAATTCTGCAACTTGAGGCTAACCACAGTCTCTCTCTGTCTCAGCTTCCTCAACTGTAAAATATGGGTAATAATAACACACACCTTCATAAGGCTGTTGTGAGAGTAAATGATATGGCATATACATAGCATTAGTCCTATGTTTGGCACATACTGTTCTACCACTGCTATTATTCTTGCACCTAAAGGTGAGGTCTGCATTTATAAAACCGACATGTATTGACTGCCAAGTGTTATGTACTAGAAGACACAGAAATAAAAAGGCATAAGTAAATAAACAAATATAACACAGTATGAGAAGGCTTACCTCTAGGAAACGATAGCTGAGTATTGAAAGGAAGAGGAGAAATTATCCAAGGAAAGAAAGAAGAAGAGTACTTCAGGAAGAGACAATACCATATAGAAAGACCTGGAAATGTGAACGAGATGGTACATTAATAGACCTGTAAGTAATTCTGCAAGGCTGTATTGGGGGTAGGGATATAAGTCAGACAGGAGCAAGATTATGCAAAATTATATGCCAAAATAAGAATCTCACATTTTATCCTCAAGGGAATCAACAGACTCCAAGGAATTTTAATCAGAGTTAAATGATTAAATTTGTATTTTAAAAGAATGTTTTAGCCAACGGTGCTCATCTGCATCATCTGGTGGGCTTTTTTCAAACTATACACTCCCATCTCTCACTTCCAAAAGTTATTTATCAGTAGTTCTGACATGGGACCCTGTAAACTACTTTGAAAAGGTTCTTAAAGCAATTCTGCCTTGTACCAGCAGTAATCACTCTCTTAGAAAGACAAGTTGATAAGCAGTATGAAGAACAAAGCCAGCCTGAAATCAGGAAGCCCAAGATCCTAGCAGAAATCCAGGTAAAAATTATAAGGAGACAACACTGCTAATACTTAGACATTTGAGAACTCTTTAAAGTTAGAATTGACAAGACTTGGCCAATGATTTGTGGGGAAAGGCGGAGGAATCACGAATGATAATGAACTGCCCATAAGGCTGAACAAATGTGGAAGAGTTTGATTTCAGATGCATTAAGTTTGATGTGAGGTGTTCAGAAGAGATGTACTGAGAATTATTCAAGAGGGCTAATGAACATTCCCACTTAGAACTCAGGAAAGAAATCTGAGCTGGAAATGAAAAATTGGGAATCATTACCAGTTGGGTATTTTTGAAGTCACGAAAGTGGGTGAAATTGCCAAGAGTATCTTACATGAGAAATGGGCTGAGAACAGAATCTATGAAGATGTTACTTTTGGAGGACAAGGTGATCAGCAAAAAGTCTCCATAAAAAGGGAATATTAGGCTAACCCTGTGCCAAACCAAAGGAAAACAAGGAATTATGCAAAGCCCTGAGGCAGGAAAGAGTTTGCTATATAGAGGTGAAAGACCAACGAGCTCTGAGTGTACTGAGGGGACAGGAGAGTGGCAGGAGACACTTTCACCTGGAGAGGCAGTAGGCAAGGAGCAGACATGAAAAGCCTTGTGGGTACAATAAGGAGTTTGGATTTTATTGCAAGTGCAGTGGAAAACAACTGAAGGATCTTTAAGCATGGGAGTGACTCAATACCTGTTTGAAAGCTGACTCCAGCTGCTATCTTCTATAAAACTTCTCTCAGCTCCCAAACCAAAATTGAAAGCAAAGGGAGCCCTAAAATCAAACACACCATTCAACGTCATAACCACCCCCCATATGCACATTACCACCCAAGTAGCTCCAAGTTTCACTAAAATTGCTTTAAAAATAAATGTTAAAGGATGTAGAGTTTAATGAACTTGGCTACCAACTGCTGAGTAATCCGCAGCAAAGTCCTTTAGTTTAAAAAACAGTGAAAATAACAAAATTGTTGGTGATAAAAGATACCTCCCTTCCTTTGAACTCGACTTGGCAGAAAATCATGGGAGAAGAGGCAAGTCTGTGTGTTAAAAATGGCGAACTTCTCAGGATATTAATGGCTATAATCAAAAAAAAAAATCATAGGTGTTGCCAAGGATGTGAAGAAACTAGAACCCTCATACGTTGCTGCTGGGAACAGAAAATGGTGCAGCCACTTTAGAAAACAGTTTGGCAGTTACTTAAAATGTTAAACAGAATTACCATACACTCCAACAATTCCACTCCAGGTGTCTACTCAGGAAAAATGAAATGTGTTCATACAAATACTTTTATGCAAATGTTCACAGCAGCATTATTCATAAGATCCAAAAAGTCCATCCAAAAGACCACCCAAATGTCCATCTACTAGTGAACAGAGAAACAAAATGAGCTATATCCACACAACAGAATATGGCTCCACTGTAAGTGCTTCTAAATACTGATACACGCCACAACATGGATGAATCTCAAAAACATTATGCTTAGTCAAAGCAGCCAAACACAAAAGAACACACACTTTAAGATTCCATTTATATGAAATATCCAGAAAAGGCAAATCTATGGAGACAGAAAATGGATTAATGGCTGCCTAGGGCTACAGGTGAGAACGCGGAGTGACTATAAATGAGCATGAGATTTCTTTTTGGAGTGATGAAAATGTCTGAAGATTAGATTGTGGTGACACTGTGGTGATATAAATACTAAAAATTATTGAATTGTACACTTAATATGGGAGAATTTTATGGTATGTAAATTAAATCTCAATAAAGCTGTTAATTTAAAAAAAAAAAAGTGCTGGAGGAGGCAAACAGCCTAGATTCACGATCTCTAAGGGGACCTTGGCAATTTACAGCTTCTTTGGGCCTTAATTTGCTCATAGCACAGGTAACCCCTATACATTATCGTACAACATACATTATCACCCTGGCTCTACCGAGGGGCCATTTGAGGTTGGTTCTGCAGAAGGCAGCAGAAGAGAGGAGTCTGAGCATTATTTGTCCATTCCCTCCTTGTACCACAACCACGGTTCCAGCCATGCTTCTGGGCTCCCACAGCTTTTGCTCCTGCACGGGCTAGAAGTGGCTTCACACTGCTGCTACTCACTCAGTGTTTCAATACCCCTTTTTGGTTCCCGTAACCCTGCCCCCAACTATAAAACTGAGCCCTTCATTAAAGTGGCCTCAGATGAATCATCTGAGTAAAATTATGTTTCATGCAGGACCCCCAACTAGTAATTGGTATAAAGGAGGTACAATTGGTACTTTGTAACAACAGGTTATTGTTAAATTGAGTATGACCTCTTAAGTAAATTTAACTCTTATATACATCAGTAATGATCTTACCAAAAAATCCTACCTCATTTTGCACAAATGATACTCTTAAGCTGGTTAAACAGAAGGTGCTTCCGTTTCCACTGAGAAGGTGAAATGAATACCACAACTAGAAGGACCTGCAACTAAGATATACAACTATGTACCAGGGGGATGTGGGGAGATAAAGCAGAAAAAAAAAGATTGGCAACAGTTGTTAGCTCAGATGCCAATCTTTAAAAAAAAAAAAAAAAAGGTGAAATGAGGAGTAGTATGGTATTTCCTGCCTGGAGGAATGGTAGAGAATATTAAAAATTCAGTCTATCAGTTCTAAACATTATTGACAACAAAGAGAAACAGATTTTGGCACTTGTAGCAGAGACCAACAAAAGCGAGCCCCAAGTCAGGGTTACTAAGAGTTTCCGTCTGTTGTACCGTCAGGAAATAAATGAAATGTGACAGTGATGTGGCATATGCTTGGCTATATCCATGACAACAAGAGACACCAAGGCCTGGATTGGACACAATTCCAACTTCCATTTCATCACCTTCCTTTTTTATTTCTGTCATCACTTGCATTACTGACCTTTCATTTGAACAAAGACAAAATTTTCAGGTCCAACTTTTCCCATCCTCAGTATTTTCCTGTAAAGCTTTTCTTTTAAAAGAAATACATCTGTCAAGGCAAACTATTTTGTGATTCATACTACTGCAATGTATTAACTACCTGTAACATTTAGACACTAACATGTCCATTTAAGAGGTAGACAACGTGGGCTCTGGATGATTTGCTCTCATTTTAGGCTATGAAGGAACCGTTAACAACAAACATATATAGCTGGTTACTTCTCACAACACATACCACAGTTCACATTTCCATGATTCAAATGTTTGTGTGCTATGAAATATTTTATTTTAGCTTCTTCAATGTACTTTGTTGTTTATGGCGTAGTCTTTCCTTTACCAAATTAAATTTCTTCCTTGTCAGAAAAAATAGTAGAACCAAATTTTTACTACATCACAATTTATTCACTATTATTAACATGGTCTAGGATTTGGGGCATTACGTAATGACTAAAGATACATATTTATCACAGTTCACATTTGTGCACTAGACTTACAAACATTTATACAGGTTTGGTTTAATATAAGAATTTAACATTTCAGAGTAGAGAAAAAGATTTTCAAGTGAATCAAAATCCAAAGTAATATTCTTTTTTTCTTTTTTCTTCTTTTCCTGAGGAAGATTCACCCTGAGCTAACATCCGTTGCCAATCTTCTTCTTTTTTCTTTTTTTGGTAAGGAAGATTGGCCCCGAGATAACATCTGTTGCCAATCTTCCTCTTTTTTGCTTGAGGAAGATTGTCCCGGAGCCAACATCTGTGCCAATCTTCCTCTAGTTTTTGTATGTGAGATGCCTCCACAGCATGGCTTGATGAGCAGTGTGTAGGTCCGTGCCCAGGATCCAAACACATGAACCCCAGGCTGCCAAAGCAAAGCATGCAAACTCAACCACCACATCATCCAGCCATGCCCTTCCTCTCTTTCTTTTTGTTTTTTGCTTGAAGATTAGCCCTTAGCTAGCATCTATCTGTACCAATCCTCCCATTTTTTATGTGGGTTGTTGCCACAGCATAACTGATGGGTGGTGTAGGTCTGCACCTGGGATTCAAACCTCTGAACTGGGCTGCTGAAGTGAACACCAAACTTAACCACCATGCCACGGGGCCAGCCCCCAAAGTTATAATATTCATTTTGATATTCACTGTACTGTTTCTTCTTTCCCTACAAATTTTAATAGAAATTAAGCAGAAATTTTCCAGAAGCTCAAAAGATTTGATTCTATTTTCCTAAGGAAATTTCCAAATATTTATAAGCCCATCAACCAAAAACTTACAATAAAACAACCGGCATTTTATACAATTGCAATTGTATTATATTACTTATACTATTTTAAGATTGACTTCAGATACCAAAGCAGGTATAATTCTTATAGATTGTCTTAAAATATCCTGCATATTGTGGTTATGTTAAAAAAAAAAAACTTTAAGTCTTTATCTTTCAGAGACATACTATGATTGAAAGGGATATATACATGGCCTGACATGTGCTTTGAAATAATAGAGAGCAAATACAAACAAGGGAGAAAGTAGATGGGGATATATATCAAACACGAGTGAGCATGTGTTGAAATTTTTGAAGCCGGCTAATGGATACAGAGGGTTCATCATACCAATTTCTCTTAACATGTTTGGTCTGAAGTTTTCCATAATAAAAATGTTGTTTGTAGTAGAGAAAACCAACTTCTAGGTGGCTAATTCACGTTCTGGATTGCTGGTTCACAACAAACAGGAAGAAATTATAATGAACATTAGAGAAAAGGTATATATTTTCAAACAACAGTTTAAAAAGATTTCATAAAATTATTCCAGTGTCGTAACTTACAAGGTTACTATCTTAAAATTTCTTAATAAACATGTCTGTTAAGCGTGAATAACAGACATACTCACTCTAACGTACACTTTATATCTATGAGGATGATGCTAAAACAACCATAAGAGGGTGTAAAATAAATCAAAGTTAATTAGCTGGTGTACTAGATTAGCTTTTAATAGCAAGTTTGGAACCATCATGTCCTATGCTATATTAAAACACAAACTATAAGTCTTTGAAGCAATTCTAATCACTAGCGTGTTAAAGAGGATCCAATCTGAGCCAAAACTTGCTCTTGTTTAAAAAAAAAAAGTAATACAAAGATATTAACGAATAGCAAACAGCAAAAGACCATCTCTAGCTTTTTTTTGCTTGTTTTTTGTATAAGCACAGTTCTACTTAAATCCCATCCTTCCAAATGGTTCACATCTTTATTTCGGCATCATTCCATTAGACCCTTTGTGGCTCTGGCCAAATCAAACTCTGAGTTAAACAGGTTAGTGTCTAAGTGAAGATATAACCAGCTGCTTTACCAGAGTAATATTCATCTTGCAGTTTGCTCAACACGAAAATGTTTTAAAATGTTAAGCCATCTAATTTGAGCAGATCCAAGCCAAAGTATTTTTAGCTTATCCACATTTTTGTGTTTGCTTCACTGGGTCAGACAAATCTGGTCTCAAGTTATTTAAATAGGATCAGTGATCACAAAGTAATGAGAATGATGGTATTAAGTCACATGAAAATTTCAATATTTTATGTTTAGTTATACCCTATAAATGCCTACAGGCCTACCAACATTCAACAAGCTACATGGTCAGGATCCTTAAAGAAACTTAAACTTAAGGAGGCCAAACTTAAACTCTGAAATATTAGATAACAAGTCAAAGCAGAATATACTCCAGCATTAAATATTTTGTTAAATCAATATTTATTGAACACATTATATGACAGATATGTAGGGGGAAAAATACAAAGAGCTCAAGTTTTACTGTCAAGAAATACCCAAGTTAACGGACAAGGACCAAGACTAAACAAAAAACAGAGGAATGTTTAATATCAAGGATTGATAAGTGCAATGAAGAAACTTAAAGCTGGGCACTGGGCTACACAGTGATTAGGGGGAGGGGCAATACCATTCCACTGAGGTTAACCTAAGGAGAAGCCTCTCTAACAACATGACACTTTGAATGGAGCCAAGCGAGGGGAAAGCCACGCAGATCATCTGAGGAAACAGCCCAAAGAACCCAAGATACGAGCATTCCTGCTGCCACTCAAGAAACAATTAAAAAGTGGTGTGTTTCATTCAGAAATAAGAGACAGAGGGCAAGGTAGAATCTGTGGTCATAGTTCTGCAAAAAATGAAAGGAAAATGAGTGGGTATACTGAAATCAGGCCCATGTCTCCCCATTTACCTCTTCATATTATACAAGATCCCCACATATATTCGCATACAGCTAGCACACTGATTAACAAACGCTTACTACTGACCAAAAGAAAGGAGGACTGACTGTGAAAAGGCCTACACTGGAAAGGCCAGCTTAGCTTAGACTGAGCGAAAATTAGGAAACTGTGTCAGCAGTGGCCCAGTAACAAGACGTCATCCAGCATGTTGCTAAAATTAAAAACAGCAGTAGCAGCAACAAAAAGATAAGATTTTCTTAAGCAAGTATAGCAAAGGAGTAGGCAATTTATTTTTCACAAAACTATAGTCTCATTTGAACTAATGGCAAATAAAAATGCATTGAAGCACCCGTTTCTCAATGTAAAATATTTCTTTTTTTCAAAAGATTACCACCTTCAAGTCCTTGTTCAAGCGCCACTACTACAACGAACCTGCCTGATGCACCATATTTAAACCTGCAATGCCTCCCCATCCACCTTCCCTTCTTCCTTACTCTGCTCTTCTTTTTCTTCTCTGGTGTCACCTCCAACATACTAGATACTTTACAAAGTTATGTTTACTATTTATCATCTGTCTCACTCCATCAGGACAGAGATCTTGTTTTTGCTCACGTACGTACCCCCAGCTCCCAGGACAGCATTTAATACACGAGAGGTACTCAGTAACCATCTCTGACATTCCCATCCCTTATGGCAACAATTTTATCTCCCTATCTGTTTAATCTGTACACAGAACACATCACACAAAAAACTGGGCTAGACTCAGATGAAGGAGCGAAAATTGGTGGAAGAAATATCACCAATCTAAGATATGCAGATGACACAATCTTGCTGGCAGAAAGCAGCAATGACTTGAAACAACTTCTGTGAAAGTGAAAGTAAGTGCCAAAGCAGGACTGCATTTGAACATGCAGACAACAAAAATCTGTCTACAGAAGAACTACACAACTTTAATGTAGACAATGAAGACACTGAAATTGTTCAAGATTGTGTTTACCATGGTTCAGTCATCAATTTAAATGGAGACTGCAGACAAAAAAAACAAGAGAAGACTGAGAATCGGAAGGGAAGCAATGAAAAATCAGGGAAGATCAAGTGTAAGGAAGTGTCCTTAGAGACCAAGGCCAAGATTACCCACACCTTCATCTTCCCAATTACTGTGTACGGGTAAGAAAGCTGCACAGTGAAGAAGGCTGACAGGAAAGAAACGGATTCATTTGAAATAGGGTGTTGGAGGAGAGCTCTATAGATACCCCGGATCACCAGAAAGAACAACAAATGTGTCCTAGAGCAAATTAAGCCTGAACTATTGCTGGAGAGAAAAATTATAAAACTGAAGCTGTCCTACTTTGGGCACATCACGAGAAGGCAGTATTCTTTGGGGAAGACAACAATGCTGGTAAAAGCAGACAGCAGCAGGAAAAGAGGAAGACCAAAGAGGAGATGGGTTGACTCCATAAAGGAAGCCACAGGCCTGAGTTTACAGGACCTGAGTGGTGTTCTGGAGGACAGGACATTGTGGACATCACTTTGTGGATATCACTTATTCACTGAGTCACCAGGAGCTAAGTGGACAGCACGTAACAACAAATGGCAACCAGTGAATCTGGTATAAGCCCATGTACCTGTTTTCTTCAAAAACTTTTAGTGGAAGTATGCTTTGGGAAAATAATTCTAATTTTTAAAATAGTTGAATGCATAACTTCTCCCAAGAGACTCAACATCCTTCTTCAAAGTCTCCCATCACTAACACCTATTTCTGACTTTTCTTCATTTGCCTCTTCTACTTCATCCTACACCTCCACCTCCCAAAAAAGTTTTCCCTGAGAGCCAGCACAACTTGTGATTAACAGCAGTCTCTGAAGTCACACTTCATGGGTTCAAATGCTGCCTCTGCCACTGACTAGCAGTGTGATCTTGGACAAGTTAATTAAGAGCTTTCTGCTTCAATTTCTTTGTCTGTAAAATGGGCTAACAAGAGCACCTATCTCAGCTTCGTTGTGAGAACTGAGATTAACACAATAAAATTAATTATAACATTGCTTGGCACATACTAAGAATTCAATAAATGCTAGTTATCACGAACAGCTAAGGCTCAGTTCTCAACCCTCTACTCACTCCCAGAAACATTAGTCTCTCAGATGCCACAATTGTCTCTATCCAAATGTCTATTCAGACTCCTAAATTCACTCTCTGGGCTTGTCAGCTGAGGACAAATACTTTGAAGAAAATATAAGTGTTATAAAGAAAACTTGATGGGGCTACTTCAGATTCAGTCATCAGTGCAGACCTCTGTGAGGTGATTTTTTAAGCAGAGATAAAAATGTCAAGAAGCCAAGCACCATGACCCAGGTCAGTGCTTCTCAAAATGTGGTCCCAGGTCAAGCAACATTAACATCACCTAAGAACTTGTTAGAAATGCAAAG